AAGAAAAACCCTAATATGTTGAGCCTCCCGATTTAAGCAACCTTAAGGCCCTTTTGTTGGCCACCTTTTCCAGAGCTTTAACATTTCAAAACCCTAAATCTTGTTCTTATAGCAAGGGAGTGTCTAGGAGGGCCTTGTATTGTGTTCTTGGCCATTTGGAACAAAGTGTTAGCCTTGGAAGAGGAAGGTTTGGAGCTCAAGCTTTTGGATCCGAGTTTAGCAGTGAAAGAAGCTTCATTTTGAGGTAAAAAGCTTCAAGCTTTGCATCTTTTCTGTTCATGCTTTGTAGAGAGAAGTTTTAGGGTTTTTGGTCCCCAAGTTCATAGCTTTTTGAGTGGTTGAGCTCATAGAAGCCGAGATCTATCCCATACTAGCTCATTTAGTGTTGTTATGTGATAAAAATCCAGTCTTGGTTGTTAAAGGTTGTTCATGCATGAGATATGGACCTTTTAAGGTTGGAAATGGAGTGTTTTGGGTGTTAGTGACTTCCACAGCCATGCAAAGGCTTAAAGTCACCAACTTTATGGATTAAGTCATATTAGAGAAGTCAGATCTGGATTTTAGACACAAGTCTTAACCGATTAAGACCTGAATGAAAAGGAGGAGAAAGCTGGGAGTTACGTTGGGCGTAATCCCAGTACGCGCAGCGTAAGGGGCCGCGTACCCCGATTCTGTGAAGCCTCCGGGTACGTTGAGCGCACAGATCTGGTACGCGTCGCGTACCTCGGAAGGTTGACCTTTATTAACTTTTAAGGTTTGGTCAACTTTTGGGTATTTGAGCCATGAGAGGGGTAAAATGGTCTTTTACCCTTCTGAGAATGATAGGAAAGGAAAGATTCTATCCTTGGGGAAATGTATTAATGATAAGCGTTCGTTATGATTAGGCGGAGGCTAGATCTTATCTCCCAGAGTCCGAGATTTCTGATATTTACCCGAGGTGAGTCTTCTCACTATACTGTACCTAGAAGGGTACCTATGTGTGACCGGAAGGTCTGGTATGCTATGAGATATATGCATTGTATGCTATGAGTTGCATGTATTGTATGCGTTATGTATGTGATATGTATGTTATGCTTGATATGGGCCGCAAGGCATTATGATGTGGACCGAAAGGTCAGGGAGTTATGGACCGGAAGGTCGACATGGGTAGGACCGAAAGGTTTACCGGGTTGGGACGGAAATCCCCTAAGACACGTGGACCAGAAGGTCGTGTGGAGTATGGCCTGGAAAGGCGTATGTGTGTAAGTGGTATATTGGGGAATTCCTTAAGCTTCTTGCTTACGGTGTTTATGTGTAATGTGTTTCAAGTACTAGTGAGGACCGTGGGAAGGCGCCGGCGTGACTCGTAACACACAGCCGGATTTGGATATGTTTGATCTTGGGATTTGATATGTTTTGTATAATGACCATGTTACATTGGATTTTATGGTTTTGTCTTGATTGAAATTATGTTTTAAAGAAATGAAAAATTATTTTGAACATTTACGTCGTTACATAACCGAGGCCCAAAACACCAAGCCCATGTATGTTAAGTACATGGGGCATACTCCTACGTACGCTAAGAGTACTGGTTAAATAGTGTGTACGTTGCGCGTACCTACATGTATGCTCATCGTACTTCACTGTTAAGTTACTTTTCTCATTAAGTTCTTAATACTCTAATCCAAAGGCTAAAATTACCGATCCAAGTCCTCTTCAATTTCTTGACCCATAAAGTCAATCACTTGGTGGCTTGCAACCCAACAAATGAACCCAACTTGAAAATAGAAATAAACTTCCATGGAAATGGATGGGTCCCATGCATGGTTACATAAAGGCCTTAAAGGTTGAAACTTCACTGCTAAAGGAATGTTTTGATCCCCAAGGGTGGCAACCCTAAGCTCAAAAACAAAGTTGCATGATAAAGATCCATCCTTTAGACCTAAAAAGGTCCATAACTTCATAACCCTAGATCTAAGCTTCTAAGAGGAAAGTGAGCAGCTTTATACCTCCTCTGAGTGCCAAAAGATGCAATAGTCCCAAATCCTTGAGCTCAAGATACTCAAGTTCTTCTTCTTCAACTCCTCTTCTCTTCTTACAAGCTTTTCTTCACCAAAAATGAGCTCAAAAAGTCAAGCACACACAACAATGGAGTATGAGGGTGTATTAGGTTTTTCTGAGGGCGAGGGACTGGTAAGGAGGCCAGGGGTGGCTATAATGGGGTATTTATATGTCTTAAACCCTAAAAATTAGGGTTTGGCATTTGCTCACGTACGCTGGGCATACCTCTTAGTATGTTGCGCGTACGTGCATGCGTCCCCCGAATCCAATGAGCCTCTATGCCCCACGTACGCCAAGGCTACGCCTAGTGTACGACTTATGGGTAACCCCATTTTCTTGGCCCACTAGCTTAAGTCCACTCCTTAATCCTTCTATCTACATTTAGCCCAACAATAAATTAAGAATATAAAATGAAATAATACCTCAAAGACGATCATTACACATGAGAAGACATATTGTTGGCATTCCAAAACTGCTACCCAATGAACCGGAAGCCGACCTCAATGATGGGTTGGTGATGGATGCTCAGCTACTTGATCGTGTCTTTAAACTCCCTATCACCACCGTCAAAAGCCTCCCTCATAACTATTATATGGCTTTCTCTCAGGCTTTGAAAGCAGCCCTTTCCAAGGTGGTTGCTCATCCTGGATTCGTTGAAGCATGGGTTGCTTTGTTAATTCTTCCTAGGTGTACTCTTCAGGTGTTTAGGCCCAAGAATAGGCAAGAAAATAGGTCTGGCAACAGGAAGTCTTTGCAACATCATAATATCTTGAGCGCTTTAGCTACTTGGGGGACTGAAGATGGTATTGCCAAGCTAGTTAAAAACTTAGTTGATAATGAAAGACTGGAGCAACAAGAAAAAAAGTGTACATTCAGGAGAAAAGAACATTGGGCAGCACCAATGTCAAACAATGTTTTCATAAGGTTTCCGATGGACATTTTACAAAAGCAGTGAAAGTTTTATGTTCTTTGGGGGTTGCTCCATTTGGGGGTGATACCACGAAGGCATTGGAGGATAAGCATCCATATAAGCCACTGTAAAGAACTCTGAGGGTTCAAATACAGGCACGATATGGTTAGGGATGTTGGGTTTGACATATTTAACGTGTCGGGGTTTCCGCTAAGAAAGAGGCACCTAGTAATTTCTTGACTAACCCGACAGAAGGAAGGTCAACCCTCATACCGATTGAGATTTTGATTTTTGGATTGGTCGGAAGAAAACATGCATGTGTGAACCTTACAGGGGGTATCCCCTCTCGTGGTCTTGAGGGTCGGGGGTTTCACGGCGGGACAGACTGCTTTAAAAGTAGCTATATGAAAAGTCACCAAACATGAGAAATCGTGCATGGAAAATCAACACGTGTTCATACCATTTGCATTTGATACGTTTGCTTTCCTTATGTCGGATGCTGTAGAGCTTCTTAATTGATTATTACGGATCATGCATAGTAATGTTATATCCCCTCGATCTTCGGATGTAGTATTTAAAATAATTAGTTTTACCATACAAAAAGGCTTAGCGGCGCGGCTTGTTGCCCGTTTGTCATCTCACTCATTGTACAATGATAATTAAATGAGCAATGAATGCAAAAAAACAAAAAACAAAAAAACATTAAAAAAAAAAAACAAAACATAAAAACAAAAACAAAACAAAATGATTTTTATTTATCGTACCCAATTAATTCAAGCATGATTCAATCAGTTTACAGTTTAATCATAACTTTTATTTTTTGAATAGAAAAATCCCGATTATTTTATATTTTGTTGAAATTAATGAAACAACCCTTATTTTTTCAACAAAAATGACAGATTATCGAATAAAGTTATATAATCAGGAGTTTTCTGTTCAAAATATAAATATTAAAATTAAACTGTAAATTGATCTAAAATATTAATGCATTAGTGACCTTTGAGATTAATTCTTTACTTTTTCCATTTTTGTTTGGATTTCAAACATTTTAGTCACGGTGATGACATGTTTTTCCATCTACAACCAAAATCTTGCCAAAAAGGTAGGGGGAGATAAACGAACTCATTGATTATGATTATTATTATTTGATATGTGATTTTCCCTAAGTCAAAGTTTTGAAGATCGTGTAGCCTCAAAGCTCTTTCAAAACCAAAGAGTTTTCAGTCCGGTGTAGCAGATTTTGTTTTTTCTCTTTAAGGTCAAGGTCAAGGTTCAAATCCAAAATCGATTTAGGAGTTAATTAAGAATAGATTAATTTTTTTTTTAATTAAAAAAATAAAATAAAAATAGAATACTCTTTCAGGCTCTATTTTCATACACAAGTTCCAAGAAATGCGCTCCTCCTCTACTGCTTCGCACATAAAAAATTACCACTTGCAGCAATATCCTAATACGAGGTTTCAATAAGTTGCTCATTTATGATTTGAGTAATGAAATCAATGGAAAAATAAATGAAATACTATTTCAACCATCTTCGATTTCTCGTTGAAATATTATCATCTTTCTTATAAAAATAGTTGCAAATACATAAAGTACGATTATGTGAATATGAAAAAAAAAATCCGACCTAGAATGTTTGTTTAGAAATTGCTTATTGTTGCAAAAGTTGTGTTTTTTTGTACTTTTATCAACCACTCAGGAATTTATTGTGAAAAATTGGCTGAATAGTTTCCGAACCATGATGCATTGCACTTGCACAAAATACCAATAAATAATACAAAAAGAATCTTAATTGCGTTCTCTTTAAAGTAAACAATATTTATCTTCTTTGAGCAAAAAGATAATTCTTTTTCTCCACCTAATTCCAAAGTTTTTCCATACGCACAAACACATCATGTTCATAATACATTACAAGGCTACAACCATTCGTATTCTTTCATAGACTCTTAAGGGTTATCCAATTCATTCATTCAAATTTCTTTGCAATTGTTTCTTACAAATTTTCCCCAACAAAGATTTGTTTTTATAGGATCCTAGAAGCATACCTTTAATGGCGTCTTCTTCAACTTCATTTGTTCCTAAGAGCTTTAAATATGATGTGTTTTTGAGTTTTAGAGGTGAAGACACTCGCACTAATTTCATCGATCATCTTTATTATGCTCTTCAGCAGAAAAACATTTACACTTACAAAGATGATGAGCAAATCAAGAAAGGGAAAAGGATAAGCGATGAGCTGATTGGATCAATTGAAGACTTAAAATTCCACATCATTGTTTTCTCAAAAAATTATGTATCTTCGTCATGGTGCTTGGAAGAACTTGTGAAGATAATGGAGCTTCACAAGGAGACCGAACATACTGCTTACCCCATCTTCTATGATGTGGAGCCCTCGGAAGTCAGAAAACAGAGCGGGGCAGTTGGAGAAGCCTTTTCCAAATATGAAAAGGAAGAGGCTGCTGGGAAATGGAGAAAAGCTTTGAAAGAAGTGGCAAATTTGGCTGGGTGGGAACTGAAGAAAACTTCCGATGGGTAAATCGCTCTCTCATCATTTCTTTTCAATATTCTTTCACTGTTTTTCTTTCTAATCTATCTTTACAAATTCATCCATGCCATATGATCTTATATTGTTAAATTCTGACTAAAGAGGCTTGTCGAAAAAGATTAAACATGAAACATGATTAATATGATTATCTAATTACTTCATGTATGTTTGTATATTATAGATCTGAAAATAATTATTCATGTGGCATGTTGATTAAGCTAATTGAATCTTCTTTAAATTACAGGCATGAAGCTAAATTCATCAAAAAAATAGTTGAAGAGGTATCACTAGAGTTGCGGTCCATCAATTTCAGCATTGATGAAAAATTAGTAGGCATGGAAACCCGGATCAAGGATGTTTTATCATCTTTAGGAGCCACTTCTTATGATGTCTGCATGATTGGGATCAAGGGAATGGGAGGTGGTGGGAAAACAACTTTGGCCAGAGCAGTTTTTGATCAAATTGCCTGTCAGTTCGAAGGTAGAAGCTTCGTTGAAAATGTTCGGGAAGTTTCAAATGTTTCTTTGTCCGGTTTGAAATCCTTGCAAAGTCAAGTCCTTTCAGATATCTTAAATGATCAAGGCATCCACGTTAGTAGTGTTTATGATGGGAAAAACATGATCAAGAGGATGGTGCGTGGTAGAAAAGTTCTTGTTGTTCTAGATGATGTGGATCATATCGACCAGCTTGAGGCGTTAGCCGGAGATCCTACTTGGTTTAAGCCCGGAAGTATAGTTATCATTACAACAAGAGATGAGCAAGTGTTGGTAGCACATGGAGTGAAGTTGATTCATAATGTCAATCTGTTATTGGATAAGGAAGCAATATGCCTTTTCAGTAGGTATGCATTTGGGAGAGAGATTCCAATTCAAGGGTATGAAGAGTTGTCATGGCGAGTTGTACGCTATGCTGCTGGTCTTCCCTTAACAATAAGAGTTTTGGGTTCATTTCTATGCGGTAAAAATGAGCTTGAATGGATAGATGCCCTAGAAAGATTAAAAACAATTCCATTAACCGAAACTCTGAAAAAATTGGAATTAAGCTATATTGGCTTAGAGGAGGATTACAAGGAAATGTTTCTAGATGTCGCATGCATATTGAAAGGTCGGCCAAAAGACCATGCAATCAAAGTGCTTGAAAGTTGTGGATTTCATGCTAGAAATGGTTTAAGAGTCCTTGAGCAAAAATCTCTTATAACTATTAATGATATTTCTGGTCGTGAGCGCGTGAGCATGCATGACCATGTTGAAGAAATGGGCAGGAATATTGTTCGTCGTTCACACCCAAATATGCCTTGCAAACATAGCCGCTTGTGGACTAAAGAAGAAATTGAAGATATATTGGTTAATGACTTGGTAAGGGTCTAAGTTTATTTGTAAGTTGTGAAAAATTAACACATTTCATTTGTTACGACCCAAATCTCATGTTGCCTGCTTTTGGATTTCAGGGTACTGAAGCAACAAGATGCATGCGATTCTACATGTGGAGAGTCAATACAGAGATTGTTATGAAAGGTCTCCAAAAGATGAAGGAACTCAGACTTCTTGATGTGTCCCTCAAACTTACTGATGAAAGTAAACGTGATTGTTTTCGGCGGAATTGGGAACTTCATAAATTTCCAAATACTCTACAATATCTTCGTTGGCACAATGGCCCTTTTACATCATTACCCAAAATATCTCAAAAAAATAATCTTGTTGCCCATGGGATGGTACCCTGGGGAGGGGGAGAAAGAAAGGTAGAAATTTGGTTGATTGATTGTTTTGCATATGATTCATTATAGTGCTATACATCCATTGCTTTGTTATTACACCAATAATCATCATCTTGTTTTTTGTTTGTGTTAGATTCTTACAAAGCTCAGATTCCTTGACCTCAGTTATCCAATGTTGAGGACCCTTGACCTTGGGCTGACTCCAAATCTTGAGACGTTGACTCTTGGAAGGTGTGGTGATTTGGTAGAACTTCACATGCCCGTTGCATGTATAAAGTTGAGATTCTTCCACATCAGTGATTCAAATTTGAGGACCCTTGACCTTGGGTCAGCTCCAAATCTGGAGTTGTTACATCTTGATAAATGTTGGGAATTGGTAGAACTTCGCATGCCCGGTAGATGTCTAAATCTCAGATCCTTCAAACTCAAGCATTCAAAGTTGAGGACCCTTGACCTTGGGTCGGCTCCGAATCTCGAGCTGTTAGATGTTGATGAATGTTGGGATCTGATAGAACTTTATTTGCCCGGTGGATGTTTACATCTTAGATCCCTCAAACTTGAGCATTCAAAGGTAAGGATCCTTGACATTGGAATGACTCCAAATCTAGAGTATTTAGGCCTTAAAAATTGTTACGATTTTGAAGAACTTCACATGGCCCATGAATGTCAAAAGCTCACATCCCTCCATGTTAGTCATTCAAAGTTGAGGATCCTTAACCTTGGGCTGACTCCCAACCTCGAAAAGTTAGATCTTGGAAATTGTTTTGATTTGGAAGAACTTCACATGGCTAATGAATGTCAAAAACTCACATCCCTCTACATCAGTCATTCCAAGTTAAAAACCCTTGACCTCGGTTTGACTCCAAATGTCGAGAGGTTAGATCTTAACGAATGTTATAACTTGGTAGAACTTCACGTTCCCATTGGATGTCTAAAAAAGCTTGTCTACTTAAACTTAAGTGGTTGTTTGAGGTTTAGATCTTTTGTGTTTAAGATAAACGATTGTAGTGTGGATGAATCGCTTGAGGTTAGTCTTTTAGCTGAGTTACATCTGATTGCTGAGTCCCTGGAAAGATGCCCAATTCATCCAGACAATAATTTACCAAAGTTTCAGTTTACATGTTTTTATAAAGATGATCTACCCTCATTGACAAGAAATCTTGAGAAGCTTGTTTCCTTTGGTCTCTGTTCATGCACAAACCTTGAAGAATTTTCAGCAAGCATTTGTGGGTTACAACGTTTAAGAAAGCTTAAACTCAAAGGCGGTATACCAGAGGCTCCCAAGGACCTTGACCAATTAGGATGTCTTGAAAACCTAATTTTCTCGTCTACAAAGATTAAACATCTTCCAGATAACATATGTCTCTTGAAACATCTGAAATCTCTCAAACTTAAATCATGTTGGCTTATTGAGAAGTTACCTGAGAATCTTGGCCATTTAGAATGTTTAGAGAAGCTGACTTTGTCATCTACAATGGTTAATCATCTTCCAGATAGTATTTGTATGTTGAAACATCTGAAATCTCTCAAACTTATATTCTGTTGGCTTCTTGAGAAGTTGCCCGAGCATCTAGGCCAATTAGAATGTTTACAGAAAGTAACTCTGTCATCTGCAAAGATTAAATACCTTCCTTACAGCATTTGTATGTTGAAAAATCTGAAATCTCTCAAACTTAAGTACTGTTGGCTTCTTGAGAGGTTACCGGAGGATTTCGGCCGATTGAAATGCTTAGAGAAGCTAACTTTGTCATCTACAAAGATTAGATATCTTCCAGATAGCATATGTATGTTGAAACATCTGGGATCTATCGAACTTAATCATTGTACATTGCTTCAGAAGTTACCTGAGGATCTTGGCCAGTTGGAATGTTTAAAGGAGCTAATACTGATGAGGTGTACAGATTTACGAGTTCTCCCAAACAGCATCTGTAAGATGAAATGTCTAAAACATTTCCTGCTCCGCTATTGCATTCGAGTTGAGGGATTGCCCGAGGAAATTGGACATTTAAGATGTTTAAAAGAATTAGATATAGAAGGTACATGCATAAGTCATCTTCCACAGAGCATTCTTTTGTTGAAAGGTCTGCATGTTTTAGGGTCGAGAGCGCTTCTTCAGTCATTTGGTTTAACATCCGAGATACAAACCTCAGAAGATGAAAGGATCTGCTACATAAAGGTGTGAACAAATCAGGTGGAAATCTCCTTCTCTGTGCTCCAGGATTGGTTTGAGAAGCTCTCAAGGCATGGAACTATAGTAACAGCTACTTAATTTCTCTTTTTTCTAGTTGATCATCGTACTTTATTTAATTTAAATAAATTTTGAGATTTATATTTAACTTTCAGCCAAATATCAATATATTCATCCTTTGTGCTAAATTTGGAGCCTTATGCAAGTTACAACCTGTCCCCCTTTTTTTTTTTTTTTTTCATTTTCAGTTTGATGTTGGTTGTAAATTGTTGATGTTTTTTTGAAGTTGTAATCATAAGTCATTGTTTGTTTATTTGGTGAGTTTTAGTAGGTATAATTCTAGAGGTAAAATATATTCAATTATGCATCAATGTTGCTAAAGTTGTTAAAATTGGATTGCTTTGTTGAATTTTAGGAAGCATAAATTTTCTAGCTGTGATCTTGTTAGTTTGTAGCAAAGGAGGGGTTACTCTTGAACCAGGTACAAAAGTTGCCATCATCGAAAAAGGCATTTGAAGCAGCAGTTTCTCAGCCACCTCCTCCTGCTGCTGAGGAGGTTGAGGAGAAACCAAAGCCAAAGGTCGAAAATGCCCCTGTAATGGAGAAGCCTAAGCTGCCTTCACCACCACCCATATAACCTCTGGCTCAGAACCCCAGCTTCTTTCTAAATACATGAACATGTGGTTAAATGAAAAGAAAACAAACTCATCAACTAATTGACCACCAACTGTCCTCGTTAGGTCAAAAAATCAAGTGTCATATGTATCATGGGCTTTGCAAGCCCTATGAGTTATCGAATGAATGAACGCTTTTAAACATAATGGTATATTCGATTGTAACTGTTGAAAATTGAACTTAAAACTTATACATGATGGTCCAAGTGGTTTTGTCTAATTCCCGTGAGCTCTAGACAACAACTTGGTAAATTCATGAGACAACTATTTTGAGCCGATGGTTCAAGCGACTTGAACTAATTTCTTGAGAAATTGACCAAATAGTTTGGACGCATCATGTAACAACATAATAGATTTGAGCGACTTGAGCTCAACCTCACGAGAAATTGACCAAATTGCTTTGAAGCCCTAACAGGTTACAACAACAGTTTTGAGTTAAGAAAGAGTGTAAACTTATTTCTAGAACCTTAGAAAATCGCCCCTTTTGTTGTTTCTCATATTTACTCTATATTTTGGGGGTGTTTGGGATTGTTTAAACCAGTTTATTCACTTCTTGGTATATGGAAAGTTAATAACGGTTAATGTCTTAAAAATCCTTATATTTAAGGTTTTTTCAAAAATTGAATTTTAATGTTCGGTTTCACTTTTTAACGGAGATACAAGTTTTTCTGTATTAACTTTGAAAAAAAAAAAACCCAGGTTTTTTTATTATGTTTTTATTTTTAAGTTTATAATTTCTTAATACTTTTACATTAACTATTTTTTTTCACATTACACATATTCATGTAGAAAAATCATATTTTTATATGAAAATAATTTAATTAATATTGTAGTTATATTTTTTTAATGTTATTTCTTTATATATATATATATATATATATATATATATATATATATATATATATATATATATATATATAGAAGAGAGAGTGCAACACCCGAAAATAAGACCCAAAAAAAATTTTTGTTTAACAATTACTAAAAATACTAAGATAAATATCATAAAATAAAACTCATACGTCAATATCTCAAAACAATAGCAAAGTGTTATGTAGACTGTATCAAACTGTATCAAATCATATTTATGAAAAACTAAAACATCTCCCAGGACAACTGAAATTGTGGTGTATGCAATGCCATCAACCCGAGCTCTTCCCTTTGCTTGCGGAAGTACCTGAAAACCAAAACTGAAACTGTAAGCACGAAGCTTAGTGAGCTCCCCCAAACTACCACATATCATACAATACATATAAACATATACTGGGCCTTGCCCACTGCATCGGACCATGGTCCGGAAACTGCATCGGACCGAAGTCCGGAACTAACCAGGGCCTTGCCCTCTGCATCGGACCGAAGTCCGGAACTACTGAGGCCTTGCCTCCTGCATCGGACCGAAATCCGGAACTAACTGCATCGGACCGAAGTCCGGAACTAACTGCATCGGACAGAAGTCCGGAACTACTGAACATAGCATAACATAAACATATCAACTAGCATGAACACATAAACTGCATACTGCATCGGGCTGTAACCCGGAACATATAACACATAAATCCTGTCTGAGCCACGAAGGCATCAAACATACTAGAATCTGCATCGGACCTAAGTCCGGAAACTACTACTAGCTAAATGGGCCGGCATTGTGGCCTTAGACCCGTTCCTACTGGAAGGAAACTCACCTCGTGATCTGGCTGCTGAGTGTATGGCTCTGGAAGCTATCTGTTGCTGCTCCGGTATCTCCCCGGCTCAATAAACTCTGAAATGGGGGAAAGAACTCGGATCTTCTTCTTCTCCTTTGGATCTAGCCTCCTTCTTCTCTTCAAAACTTCAAGATTTACACAAGAAATGTTCAAATACTCAATGGAATTGTTAGGGTTTGCTAAATAATGCTTTGAGGGTGAAGGAGACGAGTTTGGGGGCTCATAAGATGGTTTAAATAGGGTGCAAACCCGGGGATTTAGGGTTTCTACCTGGTAGGCCGACTCGCCGAGTCCCGAATATGGACTCGCCGAGTCGCCAATCTATACGCTGCTCAAGATCACGACTCTACTCGACAAGTCCGGCCATAGACTCGTCGAGTCCCGCTGCAAACTTCTAAAATAAATAATATAAAAGCAACATACCAGAGACGGGTCGTTACAATTCTCCCCCACTTGACTCAGACTTCGTCCTCGAAGTCTGCTACGGCTGAATCTGCAAATAACTCTGGGTAGTGCTCTTTCATCTCATCTTCAGCCTCCCACGTCCACTCAGACCCCTTCCGGTGCTCCCACTGCACCTTCACTATCTGAATTACCTTGTTCCTCAAGGTCTTTATCTTCCGATCCAGAATCGCGACCGGCCTCTCAATATAATTCAAGCTGCTATCAACCTGAATATCTTCTAAGGGAACAACTGCTGACTCATCCACCAAACATTTCCTCAGCTGAGACACATGGAAAGTGTTGTGGATCTGGCTAAGCTCTGCTGGAAGATCCAACCGATAAGCAACCCGACCCACCTGGGCCAAAACCATGAAAGGACCAATGAACCTGGGGCCCAGCTTGCCCCTCTTCCGAAACCTGATGACACCCTTCCAAGGTGAGACCTTCAGAAGGACCATATTGCCTACCCGGAACTCCAAGTCTGAATGCCTCCTGTCGGCATAGCTCTTCTGCCGACTCTGCGCAGTCTGCAGTCTACTACGAACCTGCTGAATCAACTCGGTCGTCTTGAGCACCACCTCCGTGCTCCCAATGACTCGCTCACCGACCTCGCCCCAACAAATCGGGGTCCTGCACTTCCTCCCATAAAGCATCTCAAAGGGAGGTCGATCAATGCTCGCATGATAACTGTTGTTATACGAAAATTCCGCTAACGGAAGATACGTATCCCAACTTCCACCGAAGTCTAGGACACATGCCCGGAGCATGTCCTCGAGAGTCTGAATCGTCCTCTCACTCTGCCCGTCCGTCTGAGGGTGGAAAGCGGTGCTGAAATGGAGATGAGTACCCATCTCTTCATGAAACCGCTTCCAGAATCTGGATGTAAAATGGACGTCTCGATCTGACACCACCGATACCGGCACTCCATGACGTGCAACTATCTCCCGCACATAGATATCGGCTAACTTTTCCGCCGATATGCTCTCCTGGATCGGTATGAAATGAGCACTCTTCGTCAACCGATCCACTACCACCCAAATCGAATCTACCCCACGTGCGGTCCTGGGAAGCTTGGTGATAAAGTCCATGGTGATGTTCTCCCATTTCCACACGCGAATGTCTAACGGCTGCATCTTGACGTGAGGCCTCTGGTGTTCTGCCTTGACCTTCCTGCAGGCCAGGCACCTCTCTACATACCAAGCAACATCCCGCTTCATGCAGGGCCAATAATTGGGTCGAAGATCTCTATACATCTTCGTTGCCCCTGGGTGGATGGAAAATCGAGACTTATGAGCCTCGTCCATCAACACCTGTCATACTCCGCCCCCGTACGGTACCCACACTCTCCCATGAAGGGTCAACAACCCCTGACTATCATAATCAAACGAAGCTACTCAGCCCACTATCCTCTCACACTTATGCCTCTCCTCCTTGAGGCCCTCAACCTGAGCCTCCCTGATCCGTTCCAACAACGGAGTAATCACTGTCATCCTCAGACTTAAGTCTCTGATAAGGGTTGCTGTCACCTTTCGGCTCAAGGCGTCGGCCACTATGTTGGCCTTCCATAGATGGTAAAGGATTTCACAATCATAATCCTTCAGCACATCCAGCCATCTCCTCTGCCTCATGTTTAGACTCGGCTGATCCATAAGGTATCTCAAACTCTTGTGATCCGTGTAGATGGTACAACGGACCCCATAAAGGTAATGTCTCCAAATCTTGAGGGCAAACACCACTGCCCCCAGCTCTAAATCATGGGTAGGATAGTTAGCCTCGTGAGGCTTCAATTGTTTTCGAGGCATAAGCTATCGCATGCCCCCGCTGCATCAATACCGCTCCCATACCTGTGATTGAGGCATCACAGTAGACTACAAAATCCTCTATTCCCTCAGGCAGGTAAAGGATCGGAGCCTCACATAACCTCTGCCTGAGGGTCTCAAATGTCGCCTGCTGCTCAGGCCCCCAACGAAACACCACCGACTTCTTAGTCAGTCGGGTGAGCGGTACTGCTATCTTGGAGAAATCCTGAATGAATCTTCTGTAGTAACCTACCAAACCTAGGAAGCTTCGAATCTCGGATGGAGACTTCGGGACCTCCCACTGCATCACGGCCTCTATCTTGGCCGGATCTACCAAGATACCCTTCTGGTTGATGAGGTGACCAAGGAACTGCACCTCACGCAACCAGAACTCGCACTTGGAGAACTTTGCGAAAAGTCTCTCCCTTCTTAAAACTTCTAGCACCTCCCTCAGGTGCTCCTCATGCTGCTCCTCATTCTTGGAATACACCAAGATATCATCTATGAATACTATCACAGACCGATCCAGCATCAGTCTGCATACGCGATTCATGAGATCCATGAATGCGGCTGGAACATTAGTGAGCCCAAAAGGCATCACCACAAACTCATAATGACCATATCGGGTCCTGAAAGCAGTCTTTTGCACATCTTCGCCTCTAACTCGCATCTGGTGATATCCAGAGCGTAAATCGATCTTGGAGAACCAAGACGCCCCCTGAAGCTGATCAAACAAATCATCTATCCTTGGGAGGGGGGTAACGGTTTGATATGGGCATATTTAGTGTGTATTAAGTGTAGTTTATTATTCATATATTAGCTAAATTGTTGCATATTATGGACAAAAGGTACTTAAAAGTGTTAAATTGTGTTTTTCAGTCCAAAGATGAAGCTCGGAAGCGAAAGGAAGCAAGAGAAGCGGTTAAGAGCTCAAGAGTGGAAAGAAGAAAGAAAACAACCGAAATAAGGCTTCTACTCGTCGAGTTATCTCTTGACTCGACGAGTCCGGTCGCGGATTCA